CTAAGTTTAACAGGATGTCTAGTAAAGCATACATCAGATTTCCACTAACAACTAATATTTTGATGAATACCTAATTATTTTACTTTATAAAAAAAAATATATGATGTGACGGTTTATGCTGATGCCCTTGAATTATTAACGAACTTGATTATTTATGGGATTAAGTTATAAACCACTTTAAGGGATAAGGAAATGTTTTTCTTATTGAGGAAGTACCTAAACTAATCAAAAAAAATCTATACACCCATGCCAAAATCACTTTGTCGATGTGGAACACAATAATTCTAATAGTAAACCGCCTTGTTTAATCATATGTGGTTGGAAAAGAAAGAAAATGTAACAATTTATTAAATAATAACACAAAAGTTAGTAATTGGAGCTTTGCATCATCATATTGTATACGAATTTGACTTTAAAACTCGTGGCTTAAGCGAAGCCTAAACTAATGTGGCCATTAAGAAATGTTATAGTGATGTTTTTGTCTATGATGAGACCAAGTACTTATAATTATGAATAGAATTATATGATGTTATTAGTAGAAATCGGGATGTGCAGGGTTGATTCCTATATCTACCGAGGAAATCAATTTTACGATCAATTATTTCACAAGATAAGAATTGGATTATGCAATTGAAAGGGCATCTTTTAAAATGAAATCCATGGCTTCAAATGTAAGAAAGTTATATATTAGAGTTAGAAATATGACAAATGGAATTAAAAAAATTTAAAAGTTCACGCAAGAAATTAATAAAAAACAACACCAAATGGACATGCAAGATTATGCCGAATCATCGCAAACATAATCCAACACATATGTGGGTATTACGTTTCTTTTCAATCTTGTGGTTTTATTGTAATTGTTGTTAAGTAATGAACACGCAAGGAAATTATTTTACAATATGTATACAGTATATAATAAACAATTAATCATTCAAAAGAGAGCATATATAATGAAGTTAATTAATCAAATTTAATGAATCAATTGTCCATCGCTGTTGTGTTTGGTAAAAGCAAACACAATCCCAAAAGGCATTCCTCCGCAGATCATAATCATGAAAGCAGCCATGCATAATTACTTGATAAACTTCTCTTTTCTCCATTTTACGCAAAATATCCTTCCTCTTCTTCTGTCCCGCCCAAAAAAAATAAATAATAAATCATGTTAACTATACTGTTTTAACTCAATGTGTGAGACTCTTTTTTAAGATAGATGAAGCACTAATCAAGCTCGAAAAAAAAAAGAAAGAAAAAAAAAAATCATCCAAGATTGATATAGATAAAATTCCAAATAGTGGTATTCTCTTGGGACACGAAATAATTCTGCATCATGACTACTAAAATAGGATCACGGGCCAATTAGTATAGTTTCTATTCTCATAATCCAACTCGATCAAGACATAGACAGAAAAAGACATATTAAAGTGTGTATTACTATTTATATGTATAAGTCTCTTAGCAGATTCGAATGAAAATGAAAGATGAAATCCAACACGAAGGTAGCTATTAGCTCTTTTAAGTATCCACATTATCGTATTGCAGGATGCCATGATAAGCGATTTTGGCAATGTTGCTTTCATCTTATCATATACATACATATGGGTCATGTACAACTTATCTCCCTAATGAACACGGCAAATATGACAGAACTCGTCCATTAAGAAGGTTCTTAACGTAGTTTATGAGATTTTTAGAGACGCAACACTCTTAATTACGTAATATCATATAGTTATACTGTAAAAAAAAATTGAATTTTGCTATCGATGTTCATATAATTCACTCCTTCCTTGAAGCTAGCAATCTGTCTTGAGAAAAGCATGAAGAAGAGATAACAACAGAAGGGAACATTGAAGATAAAGTTTGGATGTGTTCGAACAAGATCCGGCATGGGAGTTGAATTAATCTATTTGCACTGGACAAGAACTCACTGGTTAAGACTTAGAGCATAAGCTACTCTTTAAATTAAAAAAAAAAAAAAAATAGGACATGGAGAAAATAAAGTTGACGACTTTCTTTTTCTCTCTTTTTTTTTTTTTTGCAGAAAAGCTCGAGAAAATTTGTTGGGGGGAAGAAATGTCAAATATCAGTGGCAATATATAGTATATACTGTACTTTTTTTGAGATAATGAAGTCTCAGTAAAGACCCGTATTTGGTATCCATCTTTTCACAAAATCCCATCCAGTTTGGTCAAATAAGCGACCTTTTCGAATTGGTTTTTTTGGATGCACCGATTTTGTTGTAGAAAAATGAATTTCTTAGATTTTGATTTTGAATATTCATTGAACACAAATTTGCTTCAACTTTGAGTTCAGTGATGTAGAAAAGTAATACCCCTACATGAAAAGCGGATTCAGCTGGATTTGCAGGACCTACATATTGTTATATTCACAGTCGTAAACTTGTTTTTTTTTTTAAAAAAAAAAACAAATTGACATATAACTTTAGGCGATAACTCGTTCTATCCCAAAAAAATATATATATAAAAAAATCATGTTTATTGTAATAAAATTTTTTAATTAACAAACATGAATCTAAGGTCTCTTGACCTTCCTTGTGAGCATACAACAAGTACAAGTGGTCTTAAAAGGTTTTGGACCTTACACAACTATATAGCTTGTGATCTTTCAATTTTGATCAAAGTTTCACTTTTGGATTTTTGGTCTTTGACTGGTCAATAATATTTCTAATGCCTTTTCTTTTTTGTTATGGAAAAAAAAAAAAGAAAAAGAAAAAGATATCCTGTAGCCCTACGACCAGCAAACTACGCCCTTTTTAAAAGGAGTTAAAAATAATTTGCTTCATTTTCAATATCTACTATAACCAGTGATGTCTGGTTGCGCGACCCTGGCCCAGTCTATCTGTAGATCTTAGAAATGTTTATATTTGAAAAAAAATAAAATTTTGTATTTGGAGCGATATATTTTAGAAATGTTTGAAGGATTTAGAAATGTTTTATAAGTGTGATCATAGAAATATTTGTATTTCGCAAAAAAAAAAAAATAAACTGTATTTCGCCATGTATGTTTTAGAAATATTTTATAAGTGTTACTTATTAAATATAAATAGCTTAATCGAATATATGTGTTGAAGTAAATGTTAGATAAAATATAAAAGCATCCTAATAAATTTAAATATTAGTAAGATGATTAATTGATGTTCTCCATTGGTCGTGCCAAATCAATATTTAGTTTTGGAGATTTTTAATAGCTTTGTAATAAACTTCATCCAAAGGGTATACGCTTAAAATAAAATTGACACTTTGTAATAAAAAACCTAATTGATCAATTCAATTTAAAAAACCACTATAGTTGAATGAAACATAAAGAAAAAATTAAAAAAAAAACGTGTCACGTAAAGTGCAAAGGGAGATTTAGTAATTTATTTATGGTTAGACAAAAGGGCAATTTAGTATTTTCTACATGCCACGTGGCAATCATATGAGGTGTTTGAAAGGGATGTTTTTGTTTCTAATATAGTAGGATGTTTATTGTGTATGTTTTGTACGTAGTTTTGTAATGTTTTGACAGACAGTGGTACATATTGTGTATGCCAACAATGAAAAGCATCGATTCTTGATGGGCTGCTTGTCGATGGGTGGCAGGATTTAGGTCCAAATTTTGGGCTGCGAAGTACAGATTGGGCTGATATAATTGGGATTGAACAGACACTGGATTACAGGCCGTAGCCCTTACGTCCTTGAAAATCTCTGGCACCTTATCATTTTTGTCCTTTTTTTTTTTGGGTCTGAAACGATAGCCATTTTATAATAAATAAAAAAAAAAAAAAAATTCAAAGATGGTAAGCAATTTACAATCGACCTACCACTTTTAGGCACATAGGTGGAGGGTTGATCCAACACTGTGTACTAGACTGATAAGTGCCCATCTAGTAATCTAACCCTATAACTATTCCATTTCTTCCGAATTCATCAAAATATTGTCTCAACAAGAAGACGTCGTCTACTGTTGCTTTTACTTTATAAATAAAGAGTAATCCTCCATTGAAGCCGAATGACATAAGTTTTCCCATCTAATTGCACTTCTACCCTTTTCATCCTCTGATGTTGACCATCAAAAACCGCCATCTTTATCGCCTCCATTGCTGCTGCCAAGTCACTCAAGGATGGCGGTTTTTCCATTTCTGCATCAAAAATGATAATCCTCCCTTATCATTCTTTTCTAATTCTCGGTTTTTCCACTCCAACAAAATTCTCAATTCCATGTGTCTTAAAATGATTGTTCAACTTAAATTTTCATTTTTAATGTAGTTCAAAGTATAAATAAAAAGTCAAACTGAACAATTATTTTAGGATGAGAGAATATTTGAAATCAAGCGATTGAAATAATCGCTACTGCGAATGTTGAATATTGCACTCCCTCTCTCAAAAAAAATAATTCACATAAAGTTTTCAAATTTGTACTGTTTTTAGTATAAATTTAAAAATTCAGAATGTAGTTTTTGGGACATCAGGAGTACTATGTATGCTTAAAAAAATAAAAATTCTAATTTATGAGCACGTCCGTAACAACAACAACAACAACAACAACAACAACAACAACAACAACAAATCAATATCCATCGTTTAGCGCATGTCACATGCTTTACCATTAGCAATGACTTTAGAGCGAAGACCTACATTATACAAGATGGAGGACTTACACTAAATGATCAAGTCCAATTTTTAACTTATGAATTGAGAACTTTATCGGCATATATCGTTGGTCTTACACCTCTTTTTTTTTTTCATTTTTTTTAAAGAAAAACATGATTGGAACAAAATATCACATTTGTTTCGTATAAGTGATACATTAATATGAATATCACTTCTAGTTAATTAATCCCCTCATTTCGGTTGGAAAAGCAATAACAATCCCCTCATTTTCTTCTTCATCATCCACACGTACAAGTTATATATCGCTTATCTCGAATTTTTCCGGTGTCAAACAAACAATGCATATATAAGTGATCAAAAATACAACCAAAAAAAAAAAAAAAGAAGAGAAAAGAATATTATATATTAACTCTCTTCTTGAAAACATTTCTGTTTCTGTTGAGCAACAACAAATTAATTCCAGCTCCTCTTCACATAATAACAGTTAAAGGAATGAAAAAGAAAAAAAAAAAAGAAAAAAAAACATCTTCAAAACAGATGGATCCTCCGTAATAGCACAACCTTACGTTATTATTATTTCTCCCCATGCAAAAATTACCCCCTCCCTCTTTCCATGCAAAACCCACCGTCTCCGCCATTCCCCTAAATTTTTACCACCTTCCTCTCACATCTTTTACTTTTTACTACTCTCTCCTTCATGTTGCTCCTGTTATTTCCATGGAGGAGAGGGATCATCAACTACCTTTTAATCAACAGCATCTCACGGATCATACTATTCTCCAAAACACCATATTCACAGATCCTAACCCTTTATCTGAAAACCAACCCGAACCGCTTTTCGGGGCAGGGACCTACGTCGTACAGGTCCCCAAAGATCAAGTCTTCCGCGTCCCGCCTCTGGAGAACAGGCGGCGCGTGCAACACAGCACGTCCCCACGGCGTGACGGTCAACGTTGTTGTTTCGGTTGTTCTACGTGTTTGTGTGTTACCATTCTGGTTGTTATGATAATTGTGGTGGTCGGAATCGTTGGCGCGGTTATTTTCTTGACCGAGGACGATCCCACGTTCCGAATCGAGCGCGTGACGTTCACGAAGCCGCCTCCGGGCTTCAATTTTCGGGTACAGGTCGAGAATCCGAATAAGTACAAGGTGGTCACTTACGATCCGCAGAGGGATTCGGATGTTCGTTTGAAATTCAAGGAGAAAGAAATCGCAAAGGGGAAGTTCCCGAGTAATTTCGATCAAGACCCGAAGAATACGACGACGTTTGGTATTGTCCTTCGTGGTGGATCAAATCTGCCGAAGGAAACCACGCAAAGCACCAACAATGGTAATAAAAATTCCAAAAGCGGTATTCCTTTGACGCTATCGATGAATGTTGGGGTGCAATTTAAAGTTGTTGGACAGGTTATTAATAGTAAGAGGATTGATGTAACATGCAGTTTAACAGTTGACAGATTGGATAAGGATACCAAGATTTTGAATCAAGATTGTAGTATCAATTAAGGAATCATGCCTGGTTAATTTCGGGTATCGGCGCAAACCCTAAGGATTAACCGGATACGCTTTTGAAAAAGCGGGAAAAAAAATAAAAATATGAGAGGCTCCTTTCGTCTCTGATGTCAGCTGACGTTGAAGGCGGGTTCTGGAACTGATTTGGTCATGATTATGTATGTGGTATGAAAGTCTTGTCTGTCAAGGTAGTTTTCTTATGGATGAAAATTGATATTCTTTCGTCAAGAAATTCGTTTTCTTGGATGTAAAGTTTTCATTTTCTGTAGCATTTTGATACCTTCTAATTTATGATGATCCCTTTCTTTTTTTTCTTTTTTTCTTTCATTCCTCTTTTTTTTTTTTGGTATTAGTTCAGCATAGTAAAGAAACAAAATCGAAGAGAGCGCAATCATCCTTCCTTGTTTCATTCTCTCTCGTAGAGAGTTGGTGGTTTATTAATTCAAAATGGATCTTGAATTCTTGATCATTCTGCCTATATACTCAGTTTAGACACAGCATGTGTTTTCATTAAACTTTACTAATTGTGTACACTGATCCGTGTCTGGTAAAAATGTTGCTTCCCCATGGTTACATACGAATATCTAAAATGCTCCTGTAGTCCTGTGGTATGCAGTTTTCTCTGTCAAGGTGATGTTTTCTTTTTATGTATTTAATGGATATGTAAAGTTTAATTTCTCTGTGGAGGGGAAAAAAAAAAGATTATGAAATATGGTGATCAGCACGTGTACAATCTTATATATGCAATGTTTGTTTTCAATCTCTTGAAGAGGACACATGAGAAACAAAACTGTCTTTCATGTCGACCAATTTGAAGTGAACTTTGATTTGATTGAAACGGAGAACCCAAAAGGAGTATTTCAACATTCCTATCAAAACACTTACAAGGTCTCTGAACAGTTCTGTTCTTCTTGACATAAACCATCCATATAACCCTAGGCAGATCATTATTTCTTCACGTATAGTATAGCATGATGGCTATTTTTCAAAAAAGTAAAACTCTTTCAATTTTAGTATTTTAAACACCGGCCGGTGTATATTCATATAGTGCTTTCAAAGCTTCTGAACAAATTAATTGTACATTATTCGGGATAGAGGATTTCTAGCATTTTTGGAGATGGTCTATCTCTTATATATATATATATATATATATATATATATATAGATACCAAAAACATGCTTCAACAGGGACCCAATACAATTTCTGGGCAGTTTTTGGCATTTCTGGTTACTCGTTCTAGAACGGTAAGATTTCCATTTGTATACATCTCACATATTGTGCTATTTGAAATGAAAATATTTAGCACCCATATATTTTCTTAGTGTCATATGGATAGTACAGGGAGTAAATGTTGGAAAAAGTTCCATCATAAATTGGATTGCTGTGGAGGTTGGGATCATGCGTCCTAAAATTGGTTTCAGAATCTCCAAGAGATCGACCTTGAGGCATCATGTTCATTATGGCCAATCACCGAAGTGGCACCAATTTTGTTGTGCTTTCGTATATTAACATTTTTATTGTTGACACTTTTTGGCAATTACTTGGTCCATTCTATAATAATAGTATCTATCAATCAGTAGTTTCACATATGAACGTTTTTTTTTCTTTTTCTCTCTGAAGGGTCCATTTCCTCATGTATCGGTGCTTTTGTATAAAAATGTGACTTAGGGCTTGTTTGATAAAATTTTGAATGTTTAATGCTGAATTAGAAATGTTGAATTCATTAAGCAATTAACCAATAAGCAATAGGCTAACTTGTATTGCTTATATTTTTTACTACAGTTTCAACACCATTTAATTAATTAAGAGATTCATACATTATTATCAAACATGTTGAAGCCAAAAAGTGTTTAATGGAATAATTTTAAGCAATAATTAATGTTATCAAATAAGACCTTATACTTTGCAATGTAAAACTTCAGATTAAAAATTTACTCCTTCCGTCTTAAAAAAAATATTTTATTCTTTTTGTAAAAAATGAATTATGTTCCAAAGACAGATGGGAATTAATGTATACAACTTCATTTATCTGTTGTGTACCTCACCAAGAAACTACCAAGTCATACCCGTCAAAACATGCTATTAGCATTATACAACGGAAAAAGGAGTACTAATTAGTTAACTTTTTTTTTTTCCTTTCACATCTACATGATGTTTTGAAATAATTATACAAACGTTCCAAGTGAGTGTTAGATACTTAAAGAAGATCGTTAATGGTCTCTTTTAACTCCTCAAGCTCGAGCGACTAGAGTAAATTTATACTAGTAATCGCGCATTCGGATTCTTTTCAATCTATTATTCATTTTTGTAACTAGTTTGGTTGACACTAACAGTTAGAGAGTCAGGAATTTAATTACCTTAACAATTGTGATAAAGTTGTAAATGAATCTAACTCTCAAAGTAGGGATCCACCCTTAATTGGTGGGGTGAATTATTAAAAATAAAGGTGTAATATAAATCATACATTACCAACTTTGGTGAGGATTAATCTCTCATATTGATTGCGTGGGCACAAATTAACAGCATTCCATCTTTGATAATCTCATCATATCAATGCAAGATGGTTCATCCGTCGTCATCGGAGAAAACAGTTGGCAAAGCGGACTAGCATACACATGCAAAAGACACAAAATTTTGTACTCTTAAAACTTATTTTATCCCAGTATTTGCGGAAAACCCAGATTAATTAAAAGCCTTGGAATTGGGAACCAATTATTTTTTGGACCTGGTTTCTTGTAGAATCAAACTAATCCTACCTAATTAAGCAACCGTTAACCAATTAAACCCCAGTTAACAACTAGGCATATAGTAGGAGATTATGGATTCTACATCCGAGATTCCATTGAATACAATATACAAATCCTTACCACATACTCCTCTCTGGCTCTCTCTTTTGGCCGCCTCCCTCGCTCTCCCTCAAACCCTAAAAAAAAAAATTAATCTTCTCCCATCTTTCTACTATGAAAGAATGGGGGAAATAATTCTACTCATATCTTTTGATTTTCTTATTATGTTTTAATTTAGTTTAAATAAACGGCTTGTAAATTATAATCTACAGTATCGCGATAACATCGTTATCGATGTTTACAGTTATGACGGCGGTATTCTTGTTGATGTTTGCTTATATGGTGGCGGTTTCGTCAATGAAGTAAACTGCCAATGAAGTTTGCAGATACGGCGGTGACGACTTCATTAAAAGTGTTCATCCGTTTGGCAGACATAGTCTAAGAAAATTCAGTCATAGTAGATTTAATTATTATTAGATTTACGATTTGGGGTTTTAACCAAAGGTTAGTGTTGTATTCTTGACCGGATTAAAAGTCTGACACGTGGTACAACCATTATTTTATGGGGTAGATCAATATAGGTTTATTCATATAGTGAAACACAACAATAACATTGTGAGTGTTTGTAGTTTTTGTTTTTATGATTGTATCTAGACGATTTCTAGCAAATTAATGAATTTAGTTTTATGTTTTTTTAAAATATAAGATTAGATTAATACTAATCGTAAACCCCAAAAAAAAGATTAATACTAATGAATTTATTAATCCATGATTCGTGGCATCATCAAGTACATTTAACTGATCCACTCACAACTGCATTTTGTTGCTGGCAACTTGTTTGATTCCTGAAAATGAAACATGTTCCCTTCTAATAATGTCTCTAATCACTATCTAGTTAGTATCTGATCTATGTTGATTTAATTAGAGGAGAGTACCAAATAATATGATTAATTTGGACCATCAATTATGAATCACCATGCCCAACGTTTTCTTGTTTTTCTTTTTGTTTTGGTTTTGTGAATTATTCTATCATCATTACGCTTTGTTGGAAAGAAGAAACAAGCGCCTCCAATAATGCAAGCAAAAGCTAGCAAGCTAGCTAGCTAGCCCTACGTTTTAGAAGGGTATATGCCTTTCAAAACTTATTGTATATATGGATCGATGATTGATGCCCTTTAGGCGCCCGATCGGCGTTTGTCTAAAATCTCCAACATTTCATTCATCTGTTCCCTCAAACAAAGTCATCTGATGAGTCATATTGGAATCTAAACACTACCTTTTTAGTACATCTTACCACATAAAATACTGAGTTAACAGTATCATCAAATGTACCAATGTGTCACCTTGACCATCCATCCAGCTTGTTGTGGGGAGGGGGACCATTGATAGTTTTATCTTTCTTCGTTGCCCAATAACCAAGCAAATAGTATTTACAATGAGGAAAGATTAATTTAAGTTATATATGTAAATATAGTGATTATTAATGCTTCTTGAATCAGGTGCTCCCAAAAAGACCTTCCCAAGTTCTAGAAACCAGTCAAGGCCAGGTGTACTTATTCATCTTTCATGCACATTATGCTTTAGTGCATCTAGGTTCATGGGAAAAAGGGTTTTCTCTTCTTTCCTTTTTCTTTTTTGCAATCCACGGGAAAAAAAGAGTTAATAAATGTGCGTTGGCTATAGTGACCTAGAGCATCATATATAGATGTATAGTAGTTTCTTCTTCTTTATATTGAATCATGATATGTCTTCATTATGTAATCATGTCCAGATTAGGATAGTGACACGTGCAGGAAAAATTTGTACCTTAACTTTTAAATGAATAAATTTGAAAACATAAGATTTAAATGTTATGATTCATTTTACGTATATTTTCATTGTAATTTTTTTCTGCAGCAATCTTTACTTTTTAGATCAATCTTAATTTAAATTTGATTGTTTCCTTTTAAGAGACAATACTACTGACGAAGCATAGATCTGCAAGGTGCTTAGGGAGGGCGGCGATGATGATCTATGCCGCGACGGATGGTCTAAAACCTGCAAGGCAGAACCTCGAGTGTCTCACGAGGGTAGACTCTCCGATGTTTAAGTCAATAAAATAATAGAGATAATAAAGAGAGAGAGAGAGATGTGTATCGTGTGTAGGTGTAGAAGATAGGTAGAAGATGTATATTATGGGAGAGACACCACCTCTCTATATAGAGGTGGTATAGAGGTGGTATTACCTGTTTCCTGAAACCCTAGCGAAATAGATTTAGGTGGTGGCTTAATCTCCAAGTAACCTAATCTTAGGCCCAATAGGCCTAGGGTTCAGTTTGGACTCGTCAAGTGCCCCTAGCAAACCATATTCTCGAGACTTGATGAGAAGAATATGAGTTGCTACGAGTGTTGATGTCTTCTCGAGTTTCGTGGTGTTGCCCCAGTTCTCGAACTCTTTTGTTCTCGGGTCACCTATATAAGATAAAGAGAATAAAGTGCCTCGAGGAGGTCTTTGTATTAGTGAGTTCCTGATTAGGAGGGAGAAACCTGTGTATGCCGAATTAGGAGGATGGCACTTAGATTCTCTTATTTAAAAGTGAGAAGCTTGTATTCTCTTATTTGAAGGTGAGAAACCTATAGTGCTTGTCGTGCAGGTCTTGTGGCTGTGCCCATCTAATAGGTCTTATTTGGTCGTTGCTCGTCTAGCAGGTCTTTGTGGGCCGTTCCTGTCAAGCAGGTCTTATTTAA